GTTGCATTGCTAGAAATCAAACCCAGGGCTCACTGATGCAAGGCAGCAACTCATGAGCTATCCCCACTTATTTTAAATTATTAGAGACCAGGCATGGTGACACAAGCCTTTAATCCCAGCATTCAGGAGGCAGAGGCAGGAAGATCTCTGTGAGTTCAAGCCTACCCTGGTCTACATAGCAAGTTCGAAGCCAGCTGGAGGTACAGGGAGACCAAAAAAAAAAAAAAGTATTATTAGAATGTGTGTATGATATGTGTGTGTCCACACACATGCAACAATGCCTGAAAGTCAGAGGACAACCTTTGGGAAGTTCTTTCCTTCCACCACGGGTTTTGGGGATCTAACTCAGGTCATCAGACTTGTACAGCAAATGCTTTTACCCACTGAGCCATCTTGCTGGCCCCTCTTTTATTTTTTTAATTTCTATTTGTATGTGTGCATGGTATATGCATGTGGAGATCAGAGGACAACTTTGTGGAGTAGGTGCTCTCTTTCCACCTTTATGTGGGTTCAAGGGATTGAATTCAGGTCACAAAGCTTGCCTAGAAAGCACCTTTACTTGCTAAGCCATCTCACTGGCCCTTGTTTAAGTTTTTTAAAAGACAGGTTGTCGGATCGCTCTCCAACAGGTACGGCACAGGGAGAGACGCCAGGACCAGCCTGTGTTCCTCTCTTAGGGGCTGAGCGAGATGGTGAGTGTCGGCGACTCAAAAACCACACTGAGTTGGGAGTCTTGTCGAGGCAGGAACTCACTTTATTGCATCAGGCATTACCTTATAACGTTTAAACAAAAAGGGGTGTGGAAAAGGGAAGGGCAAAGGTGTATGTCATCTGGGGCAATGGCTGTGAGCCACTGGGAATTGGCCATACCAGCTGTGATTGGGGAGAGGCAGTCCAAGGTCGGGCCCTGCTGAGTCACCTCCATGAGGAAGTGACCGACCAGAGACAGGTCGCCAAACTTTTAGTTAGGCTCAGGAAGTTACAATAGGCCTCGTCATAAGTTATGCCACAATTATGAGGGTCCCAGAGACCCAACAACAGGTCTTGTGTAGAGAATGAATAACTTATGACTCTCCTGCCTCTACTCCTCATGCTGGGATTACCATCATGCTTATCTTGAATAATTTCTTACCTACCTACCTGCTTCCTTCTTTCCGCCCCCCCTCCTTTTTTTTTTTTTTTTTTGAGACAGGATCTTTACTATGTAGCCCTACCTGGTCTGGAACTTGCTATCTGTAGACCAGACTGGCCTCCAACTCACTGCCTCCTTGGTGCTGGGATTATAGGTATTCATTACCACAGCTGGTCCTGAATCTTTTAAAACATGATACTTCAGGACTGGAGAGATGGCTCAGCGGCTAAGAGCACTGATAGGTTCGGTTCCCAGCACCCACATGGCAGCTAACAACCATCCGTAACTCCAGTTCCAGGGGATGTGACGCCCTCTTCTGACCTCTAGGGGCACTGCATGACAGGGGTGCACTTACACACATGCAGGTAATAGACTCACAAACATAAAAATTTAAAGATAATGAGAGTGACACTCCAACAAAAAAGCAGCGTTACGATGTTTTCTGGTGATGACTATTAAACCCCTTGTTACAGATTGTATACTTTTACTAAATACCTTGATTATGAAATCATCTTTTTAAATTTTATTTTACATGTATGAGTGTACTGCCTGCATGTATGCAAGTGCACCTGTGTCATGCAATGCCCATGGAGGTCAGAAGAGGGCACTGAATCCCCTGGAACTGGAGTTATGGATAGTTGTTAGCCGCCATGTGGGTACTGGGAACTGAACTTGGGTCCTCTGTAAGAGCTGCCAGTGCTCTTAACCACTGAGCTATCAATCATCAACTTTTAGAATATGATTTTTTAAACATTGTTGCCACTCTACTGACTGACACAAAATATGGGATAGTTCTATGATATGAACTACTTTGAATCATAATGAAGCAAAATTTAAAAATAAAATATATAAAAAAATGATCAATCCCAGTACTTGGGAGGCAGATAGGCAGATCACTGTGATGTGAGTTCTAGGCCAGCTTGGGCTACATAGGAGGAAAAAAAAAAAAAAAACAGGCATGGGGGTACACACCTTTAATCCCAGCACTCAGGAGGCAGAGGCCAGTGGATCTCTATGAGATCAAGGCCAGCCTGGTCCACATAGTGAGTTCCAGGCCAGCTGGAGCTGTCTCAAAAAACAAAAATAAAACAAAAATTCAACACTGGGCCTGGTGGTACAGGCCTGTATCTCTGTAATCCCAGCAGCTAGGGAGGCTGAGGCAGGAAGATTGCAAATCCAAAGCCTGACTGGGCTATAGAGTGAGTTCAAGGCAGTCTGAGTAGTGAGTCTCAATATACTAAAATAAACAAAGGGACTGGAGATATATTGTGCTTGCCTAGCATGTGTGAGGCTCTGCATTCAGTGTTTAGTATAGGGGCATGCATGGATCAACCTAGCCTGGTGATACATGCCTGGAGTTCCATCAACCGAGAAGCTGAGGCAGGGCCTGTGAGATGGCTCAGAAAGTAAATGTGCTTGCCAGGTAAGCCTGATGGCCTGAGTTTTGATTCCTGAAACCCACTTAAAGGTGGAAGGAATCAACTCCACAAAGTTGTCCTCTGACCTCCACAGGTGCTGCAAGTACTCCCACATATATACATCAAGCATGCACACACAATAATAGTCTTAAAAAGAGGCTGAGGAAGGAACATCATGAGTTCAAGGCTAGCCTGGGATGCACAATGAAACCCTATCTCAAAGGAAAATAATAAGATCAAAATGATCTCTAAAAACTAGACTTAAAAGTTGTAATACAAGGGGCTGGAGAGATGGCTCAGCAGTTAAGAGCATTGACTGTTCTTGCAGAGGACTGGGTTCAATTCCCAGGACCCACATGGTGGCTAATAACCATCCATAACGCCAGTTCCAGGGGATCTGACACCTTCTGATGTCTGTGGGCACTGCATGACATGGGTGCACCTACCTACATGACAAGCAGTACATTCAAATACATAAAATATAAATAATAAACAACACATTTTTTTTTGTCTTTTTTGAGACAGGGTCTCCCTGTAGCCCCAGCTGTCCTGGAACTCACTATGTAGACCAGGCTGGCCTCGAACTCACAAGAGACCCGCCTGCCTCTGCCTCCCGAGTGCTGGGATTAAAGGTGTGCGCCACTACACCCAGCAAACAACACATTTTAAAAAAAATTATTATGTGGTGGCACACGTCTTTAATCCCAGCACTCAGGAGGCAGAGGCAGGTGGAGGCAGAACTCACGCATCTCTGTGAGTTCAAGGCCAGCCTGGTCTATGTAGTGAGTTCTAGGTCAGCTAGGGCTACAGGGAGACCCTGACTCAAAAACAAAATTTTTAATACAAGAAAAAAAATGTCAAATTTATTGGATTTATCTTGCCCACACTTCTGTCCAAATGCTAAGAAGTAAATTCCTTACTATAATTTCATATTTTCATTTATTCTAGTGATAAATCTCAAGTGCATTTATCTATTTAATAATTAATTTTCTCATTAATTGAAAACTGTATATAAAACCTTTGGACTTAAAAGCTAAAAAATCAGGAACTCCTATTTTATTCTTGGAAAACTTTATTTCAGTTTAAACAACAAAGCAACACATGACAGAGTAGAGTTATCCTTCATAGCTGTACGCCGACAAGTTCCAAATGAGAGACATAATTTAGCAAAATACATTTATTAGTCTATATTATATTTATCTCCCAGTCTGAGATTATGAAAATTAGTAAAAAAAAAATTAGAAACTGATTTATATGAAGTCACATCAGAAAGCTAAGGAAGTGATGTCTAATTTGGTAATTTGGGGGAAAGTCTGTTTCTATTACTACTCAGAAGGAGCAATTCTTAGAGATCAGGAACAGTGGTTCATACTCAAAATGTTAAGAATAGTGATATGCACTTTCATCAGTTTGATATTATTATTAGGACTGAAGATGACATTTAAAATCTAAGTACAGGTTCAAACAGTCAAATAAAGGCCCCAAGTAAGACTCTTAAAATTCTTTAGAGGAAACATAAAAACATGACTTTTGGATCTTGTCTTAATTTACAATTAAAGTCTATCTTATTTTATTGTCTCAATGTGTAGCTGTGGCTGGCCTGGAACTTGCTATGTAGAGCATGCTGGCCTTGAACTCTCAGAATTCTGCCTGCCTGTGCCTCCCAAGTGCTGGCATCAAAGGCATATAGATACCATACCTGGCAAAAAGTCTATTTTTAAATGCATAAAACAGACATGGCAGGATTGTGGCACACCTGAAAAAGACTCCAAATACAACGTCCACATTAACAACATCAACCGCAAAATCTCGTTCAGCCTACAGATTTTATTTCTAAGTAAGTAAGAAACTTTGTTACTGACTTGAACTTGCCTTCTGTTAACAGCACACAGCTTGCCAGATAACTATTACACCACATTGAGTTTCAAACTCTTCTTCCACTGTATCTTTCCCTTTAACTGAAATGCATCTAGAAATAACTAGACAACCCAAAACAGTTGTAATGGCCTTCAATTCTTTTCTAATTAAAAAAAAAATTTTTTTTTCTTTTAGGACAGGGTCTCACTATGTAGCCCAGGCTGGCCTCAAGCTTGTGGTCCTCTTGCTTCAGCATCCCAGGTGCTGGGATTACAGGCTTGGGCTACCATGCCCAGATCAATGATTTTCTTTTACTGTATTAGTTGATCTTTTTTTTAGCAAAGGCTAATGCTCAATTACTCCTTGGTTTTAGATTTATAATAGTAGAACACTGCCTCATATACAGACATCTTGATCAATGACATACTTACATCTCATAACCATTTATCTTTCTAAACAATTTACAAATGTAAGATATGCAACACTGTTAGAAAATAAATAATATATAGAAGTTTCTACATTCCCACACAGGCTTAAAAATGAGGTAATTAAAGCTTAACCAATTAAACCTTTTCTCATTCTTAAAATATTTCAGGGAAATAATGGTACAACACTTTTTCTCAGGTCTTTTCGTGTTTCCTTTGAATACTTCTGAGTACCTTTTTTATGCTGAAAAATTATTTAAGAAATCCTTAAGCTTTGTTGGGTAGTCTGTCATCACTCCAGTTGCTCCCAAATCAAAAGCTCTTTTGTACTCATGTTCTTCATTTAAAACCCAAATATACACCTGAAAATTGGGTAGAAGGACAAATGTTAAACAGAAAATTACTTTTATAACATCCATTATAACCTTTGCATTCTTTTTTTAATTTTTATTATTTTTATTTTATGTGTATGTGTGCATTGCCTGCATGTAGGTAAGTGCACCCGTGTCGTGCAGTGCCCACGGAGGTCAGAAGGGGCTGTTGGATCCCCTGGGACTGGAGTTACCGACAGTTGTTAGCTGCCATGTGGGTGCTGGGATTCAAGCCTGGGTCTTCTGCAAGAACAACCAGTGTTCTTAACTGCAAAGCCATCTCTCCAGCCCCATTATTTTTTCTTAACAGAGCATAGGGTAGGGGTTTATTTACAAAGGAATGGGCACCCCCCCATTTATGGCTGCACTGGAAAGTCCACACTCAAATATGATCCTGTGACTTCCTGATAGCAGTAGAAAATGGTGAGAGAGGGGCCTCCTAACTTCTCAACTTACATATCCTTAGCCCCTCCTCCACATGAAGCTAAGGTCCACTGATTGGGTGGGAGGAGTAACTGACTCCCCCCTCAACTCCTTGATGAGCATGGGAAGGAGGTATGACTATAGCTTGTTGGCATAGTGGTCGGAGTACACTTCCAGTTCCAGTTAACACTCCACCCCTTCCTCCAGCTCTTACGTTCTTCTTGCCAACCTCTTCCCCCAAAGTCCCTGAGGCTTGGAGCGGGTGGTAGGTGTGGGATGATCTTCATTCTATTGTGGCAAGGCACCGAACTTTCGTAACCTCTGCATTCTTTTTTTGGGGGGGGGGGCTTTTTTGAGCTGTAGCCCCAGCTGTCCTGGAACTCACTATGTAGACCAGGGTGGCCTTGAACTCACAGAGATCTGCCTGCCTCTGCCTCCCGAGTGCTGAGATTAAAGGCATGCGCCACCAAGCCCGGCTACCTCTGTATTCTTATAACTAACCTTTTAAAGTTGTCATCTTAAGAAATCATTAAGTCCTTAAAAAATTTTTCATTTTACTCATTAAATATGCACTGTCCCAACCTCCTGACTTCAACTGCCTTCATCTATACATAAGAGGAATCTAGCTAAAAGTTCATTACTAACTGAAAGGAAGAGCTCAAGATGCCCATTTGTGAATTTTTTATAGGGACTAGAGAGATTACAGCTGTGGCATAAAAGCCAGAGCTCAAACTTAGTTAAAAACTCTTGTACTTTGACTTGTGTGAAACTAGTGAACTCTGCTCTTCCCAAAAATGTGTCATCACAGAAGCTTACTTGAATGCCTCGGGCAGTGAGGTGGTCAAATAAGGCTTTCCTCATTAATAACCTGGAGGGGAAAAGAAAATAGAACAGATTTAGGTGTATCTTAGTCCTAAAGATGAGAATTAATCCTTAGTCCTCTCTGTGTCAATCTAGAGTTTAGTAATTCCTGGTTTAGTTTCATCACAATGCTTCAGCAATACAGCAATACAAAGGCCTCAATAGATTAACTTTCTTTTCCTTCTTTCCTTTTTTTTTTTTCCTGTTTTGAGACAGGGTCTCCCTGTAGCCCCAACTAGCCTGGAACTTGCTATGTAGACCAGCTGGCCTTGTTCTCATAGAGATCCACCAGCCTCTGCCTCCTGAGTGCTGGAACTAAAAGCATGCACCACCACACCTGCTGGATGAATTTTCTGGACTGCTGGCTACTGGCCAACTGAAACCTCCTCTGGTGCTGCCACCAGATGCTCAGGAGACCACTCCCCTTGGAGCGCGTCAGTGAATCAGAGACGTGCCTCACTTTCCCTGCTGGAGCCATAACGAAAATGAGGATAGACTAGGACATCCATGCTCCTAACTTTCTAAGTCAAGGAAGGCAGAAAATTCAGGTTAAGTTCTGTAACATTAGAGTTCAGGTGTCTATTAACTGTAATATTCTGTAACTGAAAAAATACCTTCTTGTTTCAAATAACTGACAAGTATACTTTTAGAGTACAAGACACTTAAGCAAGATGGGAACTAACCATACTAGAAAATAATACCTATTATTTCTATTCACGTATGTCTATCACGGTGACTAAGAAAAACTAGAAGTCATGTGCTTTCAACACCAATTAAAATGTATCCTTGAGGGGCTGGAGAGATGGCTCTGCAGTTAAGAGAAGTGACTGCTCTTGCAGAGGACCTGGGTTCGATTCCCATCACCCACATGGAGGCTATGAACCGTCTTTAACTCCACTTCCAGGGGAATCTGAAGCCCTCTTCTGATTTCCGCGGCATTGCACGACACAGGTGCACTCACATACATGCAGGCAATACACTCATATACATAAAATAAAAATAATAAATAAAATATTAAAAATAAAATATATCCTTGAAACTAGAAATCAAATCAAGGATAAAGCACAAAAAGAACAGACTTGTGGCATACAGAAAAGAGAAAACTAATTTTGTAAGATTCTCAAAGAGCTAAGTAATAAAGGGTTGTGATTAGGACTATTAACATTAGGACTATTAAGCATTCAAAGCTCCATTTGAAAGCAAAATATAGAACAATTACTTTGTTATTTTTCCTTAAAATAAAACTCAACATTTGGGCTGGAGAGATGGCTCAGCAGTTAAGAGCACTGGCTGCTCTTGCAGGGGACCCAGGTTTAATTCCCAGCACCCACATGGCGGCTTACAGCCATTTGTAACTCCAGTTCCAGGGGATCCGATGCCCTCTTCTGACCTCTGTGGGCATTGCATGACATAGGTGCACCTACCTACATGCAAGTAATATACTCATACACATAAAATAAAAATAATAAAATAGCCAGGCGTGGTGGTGCACGCCTGTAGTCCCAGCACTTGGGAGGCAGAGGCAGGCAGATGTCTGTGAGTTCAAGGCCTGTTTGGTCTACATAGTGAGTTCCAGGCCAGCTGGGGCTGCAAGGGGACCCTGTCTCAAAAAGACCAATAATAATAGTAATAAAATAAAATTAAAAAACCCTCAACACTGTAGATATTAAAGCACTTTCTTTAAAAATGGGCAGACAGGACTCTATAGACAGGACCACCTTTCTACTGCTAAGTCTTGGTGCAAATATTTCTAAGAAATGTGCCAGAGGGTAGTAAATCCTTTTACATATACTGTATAGCTACTACATACACTTCATTTCACCATGTTTTTGATGATGGCCAAGTAGAAACTGCAAGTAGAAGGGAATGATTATTTTTTTTCCAAGTCTGCTACTAATTAGCTACAAGTGGATGGATAGATGCTCCACTTTCTCATGAAGATGGATGAGATTATTTCTCTAGATTCCTGCTAAGATTTTCTCACTAATAATTAAGCCAGTGAGTACAAATGATTCACTTTTATCTACTTACATAGTAGATGATCAACAAGTCTTGGTTACAAAATACATGTAGGCAGTTTACACAACATTCCAAGCACAGCACTTAATACATATGGCTATAGGTCCAGTGATATGGCTCAGCAGGTAAAGGTGTTTGCCGCCCAGCCTGACATGAGTTCAATCTTCGATACCCACATGGTGGAAGGACAGAATTGACTCCTGAAAGTTGTCTTCTGATCTCCTCCACAGGCTGATGTAGCATAAGCATCCCCCCTTCATCCTCCCACCAGGACACAAAAACTTCTTAAATACAAAAATAAAGACAACTTGGGGCTGGAGAGATGGTTCAGTGGTTAGAGCACTCCCTGATCTTGCAGAGGACCTAGGTTCAGTTCCCAGCACCCACACTGTGGCTAACAACCACCTGTAACTCCAGTTCCAGAGGATCTGATCTCCTCTTCTGGCCTCCTCAGGCACCAGACACACCTGGTATACAAATATACATGTAGGCACTCACACAAACACACAAAAATAAAAAATAAAAATTTTTATTTACTTAATTTAAATTTTTTTTTTTGTCTTTTTGAGAGAGGGTCTCCCTGTAGCCCCAGCTGGCCTGGAACTCACAGAGAGCTGCCTGCCTTTGCCTCCTGAGTGCTGGGATTAAAGTTGTGCACCACCACACCTGGCATAAATTGTTTATCTTTTTTGTCTTTTTGAAGCAGGGTTTCCCTGCAGCCCCAGCTGTCCTGGAACTCACTATGTAGACCAGGCTGGCCTTGAACTCACAGAGATCTGCCTGCCTCTGCCTCCCAAGTGTTGGGATTAAAGGCATGCACCACCATGCCCAGCTATTTTCTTTCTTTTTTTTTTTTTTCAATTGAGACAGGGTGTCCTTGTAGCCCCAGCTGTCCTGGAACTCACTATGTAGACCAGGCTGGCCTCAGACTCACAAAGATCTGCCTGCCTCTGCCTCCCAAGTGCTGGGATTAAAGGCGTGCACCACCACACCCGGCTGTTTTTTTTTTTTTTTTTTAATGTAACTACAGCAATTAACTTCAAGATCCAGGAATGAGAATGCTTACGTATCAGAAAGCCAGATGAGGAGCTTCTGACTTCTGGACATCACATGTGCTTCTTTCAGCCTATGGTAAAGACAAAGATGAATTATAAATTAGGGACTTGGGAACATATCAGTGTAATAGAACCAGACAAGTTAAAAATAAAAACAGCACCTGTACATAGGATGCTCTAAAAAAAAAAAAAATACTTGTAAAAGGACAAAAAGATATATAAATGTTTCTTTCTGTTGGTCTCAAGTTAACTAAAAAAAATTTTTGATTGACTTTTTTAGCGTATTAGTGTTTTGCCTGCATGTATGTAAGTGCACCTATGCATACAATGCTCACTGAGGGCAGAAGAGCACATCAGATACTCTGGAACTGGGGTTAGAGATGGTTGTGAGCTGTGATGTGGGTGCTGGAAATTCAACCTGGGTCCTATGAAAGATTTATTTTATATTTAAAATATTTTATTATTTTTATTTTATGTGTACAAGTGTATTGCCTGCATGTATGAGTGCACCCATATTGTGCAATGCACTCAGAGGTCAGAAGAGGGCGTCTGATTTCTCTGGAAATGGAGTTAAGAACTGTTCTTAGCCACCTTGTGGCTGCTGGGAATCAAACCTAGGTCTTCTGCAAGAGCAGTCAAGTGCTATTAACCCCTGAGCCATCTCCAGCCCGATTTATTTTATTTTTAATTATGTGTATCTTTATGTGTCTGTGTGGGGGTGCTGGAGCCCATGGAGCTGGAGTTACAGAGAGTGGTGAGCTTTACAACATGGGTACCGGGAAGTGAGCTTGAGTCCCCTGCAAGAGCATTACATACTCTTTTTTTTGTCTTTTGAGACAGGGTCTCCCTGTAGCCTCAGCTGACCTGGAACTCACTCAGGCTGGCCTTGAACTCAGAGATCCGAGTGCTGAGATTAAAGGCATGCGCCATCTCTCTAGTCCCTCAAGCTAACTTTTTTTAGTAACACTATTCAACCGTGAAAAGTATAAAGAAAAATTAATTTTTCAGAAACCTGGTGCCTGGGGCCTATCACATCCTAGTCTCTCTCTCTCTCTCTCTCTCTCTCTCTCTCTCTCTCTCTCTTTCTCTCTCTCTCTTCTTTTTTCTCTTTTTTTTTCCTCCTGTTCTGTACAATAAAATTTAGTATGAAGTAGATTTAAAACACAACGGGGGGAGGGGGGAGAACACAACTAGGGGCTGGAAAGATGGTTTGGAGGTTAAGAGCACTGGCAGCTTTTGCAGAGGACAAGGGTTCAGTTCCCAGCACCCACATGGCAGCTAACAACTGTCCATAACTCCAGTCCCAGGGGATCCAATGGCTCTCTGACCTCCACGGCATTGCACGACACAGGTGCACTTACCTACATGCAGGCAATACATGAATATACAGAAAATAAAAATAATAAATAAAAATGTTTAAAAAGTTAGCTGGGCGTGGTGGTGCATACCTGTAGTCCCAGCACTTGGGAGGCAGAGGCAGGCGGATCTCTGTGAGTTCAAGGCCAGCCTGGTCTACATAGTGAGTTCCAGGACAGCTGGGGCTACGGGGAGACCCTGCTTCAAAAAGACAAAAAAAATTTTTTTAAAGTTAAAAATAATAATAATGATAAAAACATTTTAAATAAAAAAAAATATTGAATTTTTGTGTATTTCATACAGAACATCTGAATCATCTTTATACCCCCTCCCCACTGGCCCCCTCCCATAACCCCCTACTTAAACTCATACATTCTGTCATTTGTGTTAAGGCCTATCATGTAAAGTTAGTGTCTCCAAACGTCCCTCAGTGCAAGTTCATCCACTGAGGACTAGTCAGTCTGTCTAGAGCCCTCCCTTTAAGAAGACCAGCTCTTCCTCACCCAGGAGGACTCAGTTGCCAATAATTTTTCAACTAAGATAAGAGCTCTTGTTTCTTTTCTAACTTGTTATTTTCCCTCCTCTCCCCCCACACTTGGGAACGTGTGTGCATGCGTGCATATGTTGTGTGTGTGCGTGAGATTGAGTGAAAGGTGCCTAGGCTGGCTGGCCAAGGAGTTCTGGGATCTGTTTATCTGTTTCCCACCAGCCCTGTGGTTACAGGCATGTGCTGCTGCACCTGGTTTTTACATAGGTGCTGAGGATCTTGGGTCCTCACTCTTGTGCTGTGGGCACATTATCCACTTGAGCCATGTCCTAAGCTCCTCTTGCTTTAAGATAATTCCAAGAATCAGGCCAGGCATGGTGGCTCACACCTTTAATCCCAGCACTAGGGAGGCAAAGGCAGGTAGATCTCTGTGAGTTCAAGGTCAGCCTGGTCTACATAGTGAGTTCCAGGCCAGCTGGGGTTGCAGGGAGACCCTGTCTTAAAGAGACCAAAAAAATAATAATAATAATAATTCCAAGAATCTTCACTGTTAAATTCCTTCTTCCTTCCTCTTTGAATTCAGGTTTCTTTTTTGTCTGGTTTGGTTGGAAGTTTTTTGAGATAGCATTTCATGTAACCCAGGCTGCCCGCAAACTCACTATACAGCCAAAGAAAGACCCCCCGCCTCCATTTCTCAAGTGCTGAAATTATACATACATGGTACCACACTCAGTTTATGCGGGGCTGGGGATCAAACCTAGGGCCTCGTGTATGCTAGGTTAGCACTCAACCAATAAAGCTATATCCCTAGTTCTGACTTTAGTTTTTGGTATTTTTAAAAATTTTTTAAAACTTTCATGTGTATGAAAATTTTATGTTTTGCCTGCATATATGCAAGAGCACCCATGTTGTACAAAGCGGAGGTCAGAAGAGGAATTGGAGTTATGGATGATTGTTAGCTACCATGTGGGTGCTGGGAATTGAACCTGGGCCCTACGCAAGAGCAGCCAGTGCTCAACCACTGAGCTACCTCTCCAGCACCCCGACTTTACTTTTTAATAGAAACTCTCTGAATAAAGTTTTTCCTAACACTGGCCCAGGTGGAAATTCCTAGTCAAAATGTCAAGAATCTAAGGGATTTGGTATCTCAAATATTAATTACCTCCCTAAGTACAATTCCTAATTACTTTATGACGTTTCTGTTCTGTTGTAAACAAACATCAAAGCAAAAAGAAATAGTATTCTGTGTCTTAATTCATAATCACTTTTTGTGTATTTAGGAGTATGTACGTTTGTGTGGATGTGTGCAAGTGGAGGCCAGAGGCTGATGATGGGGCATCTCTCTTGACTTTTTAAATTATTTTTATTTTATTTTATGTGTATGAGTGTACTGACTGCCTGTATATAAATGCACCCATGTTGTGCAATGCTTATGGAGGTGAGAGGAGAACATCAGATCCTTGAAACTGAAACTCAGATGGTTATTAGTCGCTATATGGGGACTGGGACTAGGACCTAGGTCTTCTGCAAGAACAGGCAGTGCTCTTAACTGCTGAGCCATCTCTCCAGCCCACTCCTTTTTTTTTTTTTTTAAAGGGCTGCTTTATTATTATTTATTTTATGCCTATGAGTGTTATGCCTCCACATATGTTAAGTGCACAGAAGAGGACATCAGATCCCTTGGAACTGGAGTTGCAGACGGTTGTTAGCTGCCAGGTGGGTGCTAGGAATCGAACCCAGGTCCTCTGCAAGAGCAGCTAGTGCTCTTAACCTCTGCGCCAACTCTCAACTCCCCCATCCCCACCTTTTTTTAAAACAGGGTCTTTCATTGAACATGGAGCTCATTGATTCTGCTAGGCTGGCTGGTCAGTGAGCTCTAAGGATCTGCCTGTCTCTGGTCCCTCAGTGTTGGGGTTACAGACACATGTTTACTTGGCTTTTATGTAGGTGGGGGGGATCTGAGCTCAGATCTCATACTTTGCATGGCAAGGACTTTATCAACTAAGCCATCTCCTCAGTCCTCATAATCACTTTTTAGAGAAAAGACTAAGACCATAGTGTTTGTGCTTTCTGTGTTTGTTTTTCAGTAAATTCACTTCCAGAAAGAGGACACGACACTCTGTTCCAGGCAGCAAAAAAGCTAAATACTTTAGTGATAAATGCTTAGGAATCCTTTTAGTACAGCAAATGAAGTAGCTTCTTTACAGACAAGAAGTGTTTTCTGAGCAGGGTGTGGTGGTACATGCTTAAAATCCCAACACTCTAAAGGCTGAGGTAAGAGGATTGCCATGAGTTTGAGGCCAGCCAGGGTTACACAATGAGAACTTTATTTTTAAAACACTCAAAAAGACAAAAATAAATAAAACCAGAAAAAACGCCGGGCATGGTGACACATGCCTGTAGTCCCAGCACTTGGGAGGCAGAGGCAGGTGGATCTCTGTGAGTTCAAGGCCAGTGGAGTCTACACAGTGAGTTCTAGGCCAGCTGGGGATACAGGGAGACCCTGTCTCAAAAAGACCAAAACAAAACAAAACAAAAAACCAAGGGGCTGAAGAGATGGCTCAGCAGATAAGAGCACTGGTTACTCTTGAGGACTTGGTGTTCAATTCCCAGCACCCACACGGTGGCTAACAGCCATCCATAACTCCAGTTCCAGGGGATCTGATGTACCTTCTGCCCTCCGAGAGCATTGCAATACATGCAGGCAATACACTCATACACATAAAATTAAATAAAATATTTTATAAAAAAAAAAAAAGCCAGGCAGAGTGGCTCACACCTTTCATCCCAGCACTTGGGAGGCAGAAGCAGGTGGATCAAGGCTAGCCTGTTCTACACAGTGAGTTCCAGGGCAGCTGTGGCTACATAAGAGACCCTGTCTGGTGCATAATTATTTTTCTTACTAATATTTTTCTCATGTCTGCTATACCAATAGCTTGATTTTTAAAAGTTGTTTGTGGATGACAGAATTGAGGGAGAGGCTAGGCCAGAAATATGATACCCTGAGTTCTGTCCCCAGCATGCACATTAAAAAAAAAAAAAGCTAAGAGTGGTGGTGATATGCATTTGTAATGCCACTGCTGAGAAGGTGGAGATAGGGAATCTCTGGGATATGTTGGCTAGCCAGTCTAAACTAGTGAGCCCCAGGTCCCAGTGTGTCTTAAAAAAAATAAAGTGGCGGGAGGAGGGTGCTGAAAAGATGACTCAGAGGTTAAGAGGCTTGCTCTTGCAAAAGATCCAAACTCAGTTCCTCACATTCACATGGTGGATAACAACTGTCTGTAACTCCAGTTCCAGGGGACTACCACATCCTCTTTGGCCTCCATGGGGTACACTTGCACACATGCAGGCAAAACACTCATACACATAAAATCAATCAATCAATTAATCAATCAATCAGACAGGCAGCTCCTAAGGAACAACACCAAAGGTTAACCTTTGGCCTACACACACACACACACACACACACACACACACACACATATGAACCTGCACACTCCTCCACACCCATATATACACACAAAAAATAAATGAAATATAAATTATGCCAGGCATGGTGGCATATACTTTTAATCCCAGCACTTGAGAAGCAGAGGTAGGTAGATTTCTAGGTGTTTGAGGCCAGCCTCGTCTACAGGGCACGTTCTAGAGGAGCCGTGCTGCACAGAGCCAGACTCAAAATAAATAACTAAATAAATAAAAGTTGTTTGGGAATAAAAATATTTTCGTGCAAGTAAGGTTATATTTAAATAATCTCTTAGCTGGGCATAGTGGCTCATGCCTTTAATCCCAGCACTTGGGAGGCAGATGCAGGCAGATCTCTGTGAGTTCAAGGCCAGCCTGGTCTACATAGTGAGTAGTTCCAGGTGGGGCTACATGGCGACCCTGACTCAAAAAGACCAAAAAAAAAAAAAAAAAAAAAAAAAAAAGAAGTCTTCTTTCTATGTTCATGTCCTTCTTTTTAAATGTCCCACTAAGTTTAATTAAGGTTGCTTACACAAGCAAGGGTGTATGGTTATTAACTGGAGTATGGGAAGGCTGCCAGTGGCTAATACCACTGAACAAAAATGAATCCCTCCCCTCTAACAGCAATTAATTGCCAATAGCTCCTCAGCTAGAGGTGGGAAAATCTATTCTTTTTCATTGATATTTGTCTTAGTCTGTTTTCCGTTTCTAGAACAAAGTACCTGAGGCTGGGTTATTTGCCAAAAAAGGTTTATTTAGGTCATAGTTCTAAAAGTCCAAAAGCACAGCACTTGTACCTGGCTCACTTCTTTTGAGGGGCCTCATGGTGGTAGAGAAGCAATGGGCCCTTGAAGAAGGGAGGTGTGTGTGAGAAGGAGCAAGAAGAAAACCAAGGACAAGAACTCATTCCCATAAGAAAGAATTCATCCCCCCAAATGACCTAATCACCTCTTAGACACCCCAGCAGCATTCAGCATGAGAGCAAGCCCAAACACGAGTTTGAGAGGGGACAAAGCACATCTGAGCCATAGCAAAGGCTGGGTCAGAGCATAATCTAGTTTACAGGAGAAAGGTCTTGCAGCAATTCCCTGCACCTACAGTAAACCACAGTAGTTCTGGCACTCACACATCTTTATCTTAATCATTCTGTAATTGACACTGATGAAAACAGTGAAAGAACTTACTTCAATACGATAGAAGGCATTGGAATCTCAAAAAACTGTTCTCGAATGGGCACAAAGGGCAAGAGGCCAGTGAAGAAAAGGCCAAGTATGAGCAGAACCCGCTGCAGGCTGAAGAGGAGAGGAATATCTGCATTCTGAAACACAACAATGCCATTCGTCACTTTGATAACAAGAATCATTCGTTGGATTCATTCAGAATAAATTTCCCAGACTCTATCTTGACAACTTTTGCAAGCATTCTCTGAATTATGAATGTTTATTACAATACTAACTTAGCAATGGCTAGTCGTAACAAGAGTAATGATCTACTTTGGAATCCTATGGTATAATTAATGTCCCTGAAGTCTCTCTAGTCCCTCCTCCCTGCTTCTGAAACACCCTGTCTGTTATAGTACTCATAACTAGACTTGGAGAGACAAACCAGAACAAAAAAGAGATGATATACCAAATATGCAGAAATTTGACTTCTGTCAAAAATATGTATCTATAGGTAAGAGTATCTAAAGATATGGGGCTGGAGAGATGGCTCAATGGTTAAGAACACTGACTGTTCTTGCAGGAGACCCAGGCTTGAATCCCAGCACCCACATGGCAGCTAACAACTGTCCGTAACTCCAGTTCCAGGGGATCTGACAGCCTCTTCTGTTCTCTGAGGGCATTGCACGACACGGATGCACTTACCTACATGCAGGCAATAAATGCATACACATGAAATAAAAATAAGAAAATATGCCGGGTGTGGTGGCGCACATGCCTTTAATCCCAGCACTTGGGAGGCAGAGGCAGGAGGATCTCTGTGAGTTCAAGGCCAGCCTGGTCTACATAACAAGATCCAGGTCAGCTGGGGCTACAGGGAGACCCTGTCTCAAAAAGACCGAAAAAAAAAGAAAACATAAAAAAAGCGTATCTAGAGATATATAAATACATATTGCTATTGTGATAAATGTCATCTTTCAGCTGTCACTGATCAAATATATAAACAGAAGCTGGGTGTGGTGGCACATACCTGGACTCCCAGCACTGGGGAGGCTGAGGCAAGAGGATCTTAAAGTCTAGGACCAGCTTGGGCTATATACTGAGACCCTGCTGGAAAATGTGTTTGAGATTCAAGGTTTTTTTTTAACTTTGGTTTTTCAAGACAGGGTCTCATGCAGCCACAGCTGGCTTTGAACTCCATATGTAACCAAGGCTAGCCTCAAACTCCTCATCTTTTGGCTTCCACCTTTCAAAGTTCTAGGATTACAAGTTTATACAACCAACCATGGTTTAAAAGAGAGCTTTTTTAACAGAAAGTCACAACAATGGTAGAGTGTGCTATGTTCTTGACTTACCCAAAAGATAAATCATAGATGTAACTGGTATATTACTGGTAATTAGACTACAGACATTTCAGTTTTCATCATTGCTTGTGCCACCATCTTTGACCCGTTTCCATTTGTGTGTGCACATGTTTAACTTCTATGTAACCCACGTAAAGATTCCCATAACCACCACCACCACAGCAAGACACAGAATGTTGTATCAATCAGTGCCCACTCCCTACCTAAGCTCAGTCCATCTCCTGGCAGTCACAATCTGCTCTTTGTATCTACAGTTTTGAGAATATTATAAAAATGTAATCACACAGCACATAACTTTTTAAAAATTTACTTTAATGTATACGAGTATTTTACCTGAATGTATATAAGTGTATCCATGTTGTGCAATGTAACTTTTTTGTTGTTTGAGACAGGATCTCCCTGTAGCCCCAGCTGGTCTGGAGCTCATTATGTAGAACAGGCTGGCTTCCATCTCACAGAGATTTGCCTGCCTGCCTCTGCCTCAGTGGATAACTTGTGGGAGTTAGCTCTTAGGTCGTCGGGCTTGTCTGCAAGCACCTGTAACTCCTGAGCCATCTCAATAGCCCCTCATCATGCAATATTTTTTGAGGTCGATTGTATGTGTGTGTCACAGAGAGAGAGACTGAACCCAGAATTTGAGAATTGCTAGTCAAGTGCTCTACCATAAGCTACATTCATAGACCTGAGACTTATTTACTTTTTTATTTTGAGACAATCTTACTAAGTTTCCCAGCTGGCCTTGAACTCACTTTGTAGCTCTGGTTAGCCCTGACATGATTCTCCTGCCTCAGCCTCCTGAGTAGCTGGGATTGCAGGCCTATACCTCAACCCTGGTTTAAGAGTTGAATTTTTTGAGTGTGGTTGCACATGTGTTTAGTCCCAGAACTCAGGAGGCAGAGGCAGGTGGATCTCTGAGTTCAAGACCAGCCTGACTTACATAGTGAGTTCCAGGTCAGCTTGGGCTACAAGGGAAACCTTGTCTCAAAAAGCCAAAGAAAAAAAAAAAAGTTAAATTTTTATTTTTCTTATAATGGTAATTTTTAATTTATTATTGTGTATGCTCATGTTGCAAGTATAGGTATGCATGCCACAGCATGTCTGTGGAGGTCATGGGACAACTCTGTGGAGTCAGTTCTCCCCTTCTACTTTTGAATGAGTTCTGGGGATTGAACTCTGGTCATCAGGCTTATTTTCAGGCTTTCGTGACAAGCGCCTTTACTGGCTGCACCATCTCACTGGTTATCTTTTTTTTTAATTGATTTTTAACTATGTGTATATGTGTGTGGGTATATGCATATGAGTGCAGGAAGCTGCAGAATCCAAAGATGCTGTATCCCCCAGGAGCAGAAGTATGAACGGTTGGAGTTACAGGTGGCTATGAGCTGCCTGTCATGGGTGCTAGGAATTGAACTCGTGTCCTCTGAAGAGCAGTGTGTACTCTTATCCACTGAGCTGCTGAGGCATCTCTCCCTTCCACGCTGGCTGGCCTTTTAACTAGCTATAGTGTCATAATGTCTTTGAGAAACATCTAGGTTGTTATATGTCTCAAAATTCATTTTGTGGCGTACTGTGTAGATACAAGAGTTTGTTTAGCTATTTACTTACTGGTGAATATTTGTGTTTTTTCCAGGACTTTATCTTTATGAAAAATTAAGTTGCAGTAAACATTCATATAGAAGGGTTTTCATTTGTTTAGTTTTGGTTCTGTTTTCTGAGATGGTCTCATGTAGCCCAGACTGGCTGGTTCTCCTGACTCCACCTTCCTGGTGATAAGCTTTACAGGAATGTGCTGTCACACTCAGTTTTCATCTTTCTGGTTAAAGGACCAAGATGAGATTTCTGGTTCATATAGTAACTGTACACTTAGTTCTATAAAACTCTTCAACTACCAGAGAATTGGCTACACTCCTTCGCATCTCCATCAGCACCTGAGAGATCCCGTTTCTCTGCATCCTCCCAGCACTTTTATTATTTCTTTATTCTTTTTAATAATTTTTTTCTAACTTTTATGTGTATGAGTGTTTCAACTGCATGTATATAAGTGCATTAAGTGTATGTGAAATGCCTGTGGAGGCCAGAAGAAGGTGTCAAATTAAGAATGGTTGTTAACCACTATGTGGGCCCTGGGAACTGAATCCCAGTCCTCTACAAGAACAGCCAGTGCTCCTAACTACTGAGTCATCTCTCAGGCCCCTTATTTTCTAATTTTGTTGTTGCTGGTTTTTTTTTTGGGGGGGGTGCTTGAGACAGGGTCCCCCTGTAGCCCAAATTAGATTAGAGTGGCCTTGATTTCACAGAGATCCACCTGCCTCTGCCTCCAGAGTGCTGGGATTAAAGGCATGCACTACCATGCCCAGCTTTATTTTGTTTTGTTTTGTTTTTTTGAGACAGGGTCTCAGTATGTAGCCCTGGCTGGCCTCAAACTCAGAGATTCACCTGCCTCTGCCTCTGGAGTGTTGGACATGCACCCAAAAATCAAATCTGTCTATTGTCATCTTTTAAAAGTTTTGTGATGATGTAAAACTGTTAGCAAATCAAGAGGCTTCCAACACATGTGCTTCCTTGTGTAATCTGGAAATACCACTAAGCAATGATTAGGAAAGAGACTTAATTCTAAGTTGTTAGGCTCTGAAGCTGCTCAGGCAACTGGTTAACTCTGTAGTCTCCTTTGTCTATAAGTTGCCTTGGACTCTCATGGCCTGCTGCACATAAATACAACTTATTTGCCTTAATGAGGGCCTCAGTTGTACTCTGAATCTAATGGGTTTGATGTGAATGTTTTTGGAAGGACTGTCCTAAAAGTGTTCTTTGTATTTGAAAATTATTATTTATGTCATGATTTTTTTTTTCTTATACTTTGATATTGTGTTCTAAAAAGGAGCCTTGGGCTGACGCTATAACTCAGTGATACAGTGTTTGCCTAGAATGTGTGAGGTACTAGGCAA